GAGGAAGGTAAAGTCATGGCTGTGGGATGACAAAAGAGGCAGTCATGGGGGAGGAAACAGAGAGATTAAGGTCCGGGGCCACTGAAAGGGGAAACGGGATGATGCAGGATTAGCACAGGCCTTTGACAGATTAGGCCACACTGCCTGGGCAGAAAATAGGTAGATAGGTTAAGGAAGGGATCGAGAGAGAGGGAACTAGAGAAAGAGAGAAAGAAAGAGAAGGGAAAGAGAAAATCAAAGAAAAAGAGAAAAAAAAGAAAGGGGAAAAGAGAAAGAGGGAAAGAGAAAAGAAAGAGAAAGAAGGAAACAGAGAAAGAGAAGGAAAGAGAGAAGGAACAAAGTAAAGAAAAAAGGGAGAGAGAAAGGAGGAAAAGGGATAAACAAAGGAAGAGGAGGGATGGAAGGAAGAGACAGAAAGAAAGAGAGAAAGCGGGAAAGAGGAAGAGAGGGAATGAGAGAAAGAAAAAAGGAGGGAGGAGAAAGTGAATGGGATATGGAGGGAGGGAGAGAGAAAGAAAAAGGGAAAGAGAGAGAAAGAGAAAAGAGAAAGGGAATGAGAAAGAAAGAGGGAGGAGAAAGTGAATGGGATATGGAGGGAGGGAGAGAGGGAAAGAAAGAGAGAAGGAAGAGAAGAAAGAAAAGAAAAGAGAAAGGAAAAAGAGAAAGGGAGAAAAAGGATAGACAAAGAAAGGGGGGATGGAAGGAAGGGACAGAAAGAAAGAGAAAGGAAGAAACAAAGGGAGGGAAGGAGGAGAAAGTGAATGAGATATCTAGTCTAACCACCTGCTCCAGCAGAGTTAGAAGGGAGTGTGTGCATGTGTGAGGCTTCCGGTTTGAAGTCTCTTCGGTGACAGACAGAAATCCGCAATCTTGCGCAGTTTCGGTCTGGGCTCGCCGCTGGAGCACCCAAGCCAGCTGGTTTCGGGGCTAAGCCACCCCGTAGAGGTGGTGAAGAGCGGGGAGACTGCCAGCAGGGTTGAGGAGAGCTGCATCTCTCCTCCTCAGCTGGCCATTACTCCCTTTCCCGAAGGTGGTTGCAGCGGTGGTCAGAAATGGCCACCACAAAGAAGAACTTGACAAGAAAAGAACGTGCAGGAAGAAGATAAGAAATGAAAGTTTTGGCTGACCGGGTTAAATTGTAAAAGCAACAACTAAGGTACCCTGAATTTAAACTTACAAAAAAATAACATCGCTCCCAAAGAAGAGTCGGAAGCACCAAAGGAAAGGGAAAAGGGAAAGGTTTGGGGTTTTTTTTTCTTCTCTTCCCTTCCCTATACTGACAACTAAGAGACTTAAATAAGAAATAGGAAAAATCCGCTTTGACATCAACAGGCAATTAAGCTGAAAATAAAACAAAATGTCAGAGGGATAATAAAGATTTCTGGACGCTAAAAATTTTTTTCCATAAGCAGGAAGGAAGAGAAAAAGAATAAGGGCAGGATCTGGAAGAGGGAGGAGACTGCCTGGAATTAAAAAGAATCTAAAGTAAAGCTTCAATAAGACTTCTAAAAGATACATTCTAACTGAAACTTTGTAACTAAACAGTAACCCCAGGAAGAGATAGTGAAAAAAAGAGCAAAAAGAAACAGCCTGCATGTATTTGGATTATTTGGTGATTTTTGGATTCTTGGTTATTACATTTGAATGACTAAAATTAATTGGGTGGTTGTTTAAAAATGTATACAATGGCATCACTTCTAGATGAATTGAAAATGGAACTTAAAAAGTACAAAGAAGATGCACAAGAAGGGAAGGGTTCTTTTGGCTTCGTTTTTCAATTCTTAGAAATGGAGATTTGGAACTATGAGAAACAACAAGAAATGTCTGCAAAACAAGAAGACTGGGACAAAGAAGAAGCCATCTTTAATGAACAAGTAATTTTATGTGGGGAAGAAAAAGGAAAGGGGGGAAAGAGAATGGAGAATTTAAGACTTAAAAAGACAACCAAAGAAAAGAAAAATAATTCAAAAAGTAAGTATAATACTGGAAAGCAACAGAAAAGGAGAATACAGAAGAGAGAAATAGAGGTAGAGAGACAAGGGGGTAAAAAGGGGAGTGAGAAGAAGAGAGGGAAGAAGGAAAGGAAAAGAAGTTACAAAGGACCGGAACAAGATATAGAGAAACAGAATCTGTTTAGAGATAATGGGTGAAAATTTAACTGAAAAAGGGATTCTGTAAAAGTACATAAGATTGTATTGTTATATTAGTAATAGAAATAACTTTAGAAAATTGGAAACAACGTATGATTAAAATGAGGGATAAAATAGTTAGTGTAATTTAGTGAAATGTTTGTTAATAAAATGAAATAAAATAAATGAGAAAATTGAATTAGGAATAAATAAATGAGAAAATTGAATTAGGAAGGAACGGGAACATCTTAATTAGTTAATGTTTTATAAAATATAAGTGAAGAGGGGGAAGAATTAATTATGGAAAGCTTATAATTGTTCCCATAGAAGTATGATATTTAATTGAAAAGTAATGGTAAAGGTTAAGATTTTAATGAATATTAATATTAATGATAGAATTGAATTGGAATGGAATGTGTTGTTTTTTTTTACATACATTTATATTTTTTTCTTTTTTTAAGAATATAGTGTGTATTTTAAGAATGTACCAAGCAGAATCCGAATGGAAATTATGTATTATATTGAATGTTATAACTTTAGGGTATATATTGAAGCCTAAATAAGAGTTAAATGGATAAACTTAAAAGATATAAAGGTGTCATACTCCAATCAGTAACTACAGGAGAAATTTTGTTTAATGAGAAAAGATAATAGATAATTGAAACAGGACAGACAAAAAATATAAATACAATGATTTGAATTGAGATGAGATAATTAAAATAAAATTGAGAAAATTAAAAGAGGGGAGAAGCTATGCTGAAAATGTAAAACAGTAATAAGATATGGAATAGAATATAAAAATGAGCATGAAGTCGAATTTGTGTCTGTACAAAGAAATGTAACCCGGGATTACACTACTTTCAAAAAAGATGTTTTATTTGTATATTTTTTCCTTTGTGAAAACTCAAATAAAATTTACAAAAAAAAAAAAGGAGTGTGTGTTTGTGTGTATGTGCGCATGGCTGTCAAAACTCCAAAAACAGGTCAAGTAGCTCTGGGGAGGTCAGTCATAAATTAGAACACTTACTAAGCAACTGGCCATTAAGCAAGGACGACATATTTGGTTTGCCAGTCACCTGGCCACACCCACCCATTCACATGACCACCAAACCATGCCCATCCAGTCACGTGACTACAAAGCCACGCCCAGCCAGCAAGCTACACCCACCCGGTCACATGACCATCGAGCCACACCCACAAATTAGGCCACCCCCACAGAACCAGTTGTTAAGAAATTTGAATCCCACCCCTGGGTAAGAGGCACTGACAATGAGTTTGTAGCACCAAGGGGGTGGTGGACTGAAAACATTTGGGAATCTCTGATCTAGTCTAACCCACTGCTCTCACAAGAGAGCATTTCTGATAAATTCCTATCCAGTGTCTTCTTAAAAACTTCCAGTGATGGAGCATCCACAATTTCTGGAGGCAATTTAAATTTAAAATCTACAAACTATAGTAATATACACTAATCTCCAAAATAAAAGCAAGGCAACACAACATTATAGAATGTTTTGTGTAGATGCAGGCTAGCATTTCTAAAGCAGTTTCAAGGCAAGTGCAAAAAAAAATATTTGCAAAGTATTGTACTTACAAACACAATAGTTTATAAAATATAGTACTTAAAAAGCAGAGCAGTTCCCCCTGGCCGAGAGAAGGGGGGAGAGAGGGAGAGAGAAAGAGAGGCAGACAGACACACACACAGAAAGGGGAGTGGGAGAGAGAGGGAGAGAGACATAGACACAGAGTGATACACAGGGGAAGAGAGAGGGAAAGATAGGGAGAGACCCACAGAGTTACAAAAAAAGGGGGAGAGAGATACAGAGAGAAGGGAAAATATGGAGAAGGGAAGGGAAGAGAGATACAGAAAGGGGGAGAGTGGGTAAGGGATACAGAGAGGGGGGAAGAGATACAAAGAGAGATACAGAGAGAGGGGGAGAGGGGCAGAGAGATAGAGAGATAGAGATACGGGGGGAAGACATAGACTGAGAGAAGGGTTTTGTGGCTGAGTAGGCATGGCTAGGGGGGTCATGTGACATGGGTGGCAGTGAGTGACATTGAGTTGGCCATGCCCACCCAGGTTTTGTGGCTCCCAGTGGTTCTTTTTTTCAAGTTGAAATGGGTCGAAATGGCTCTTTGAGTGTTTAAGGTTGCAGACCCCTGGTCTAGCCTAATAACTGATCAAGGAAAGATTCAATCTAGAAATGAGAAATGTTCTGACAGTGAAAACAATCAACCAATGGAACAGTTTGCTTTCAGAAGTTGTGGGAGCTTTATCATTAGACGCTTTCAAGGGACTGGACTGCTATCTGTCAGAAATGGTGTAGGGTTTCCTGCTTGGGCAGGGGGGTGGACTAGGTAACCCTCAAGGTCCCTTCCAACTCTTGTTATTCTGTTAACAAAGGATTAGAGGTGACATGTTAGCTGTCTTCCAATACATGAAGGGCACTCACAGAGAAGAGAAGTGATATTCTCCAAGGTACTCAAGAACAGGACAAGAAGTAATCAGTGGAAGCTTGGATACAGAGCATCCAACCTGGAGCTAAGGAGAAATTTCCTGACAGTGAGAACAACTATTTAGTGGAACAACTTGCCTCCTGGAGTAGTGAGTGCTCCATCATTAGATGTTTTCAAGAAAAGATTGGACATTGATTTGTCTGGCATAGTATAAGGTTTCTTACCTTGGGCTAGACTAGAAGACCCCCAAGGTCCCTTTCAGGCCTATGATTTAATGTTTCTAGTGCAGTTTATTAAAAGGGGATAATACAGACTAGTGAAATAATTTAAGATACAGATTTTAGTGATCTTTTATTAGATATTTCATTCTGCGATAATTCTTTTTTTTCAAAGTTAATATTTCTCTTCCATTCTTAGATTTGTGATATTGCAATTAATTGGGCTGGAGGCCTGCATCATGCCAAGAAGTTTGAGGTAATAGTCAAGTCTGCTTTATTTATTAGGAAGGCATAGTGGTTCCTTTTAACTAATATACAGTAATTTCTTTATTTTCATTCTCCAGGCTTCTGGGTTTTGTTATGTGAATGACATCGTGATTGGCATTTTGGAGCTTCTCAAGTAAGTATTCTTGTTTGCATAAATAATACACCACAGTACGAAGTGTTCTCTCACGTTGTCCCCTTGGGTTTTTTATATAGGTATATGAGGCCTCTTTCCAGGTGCCAAAAATTAAAAATGCCCAAACATTTACAAAATGTTGGAAAACTCACCCCAGAATTCATCATAAAACTCACCCCAGAGTTCATCATAAACTAAAAGAAAGGGAAAAAAGTAGGAGTAAAAAAAACATAAATAAAAAATGTAGAGAAAAGTAATAAGAATATGGTAATGAAAGAGAAAAAATATATATAAAGAAGTGACTTCCAACTTTGATCGCAACAATTTTAACAATTATGGTAATTTTTCACCTCTTCTAATTTACAACCAATGTTGTCTTCATCCCATGAGCCATCTCTTATCTGTAAACAAATCCATAAAGCATATAATTTCAGTCCTGGTGTCAGCAACTCCATTAAGAGTTGTCAGAAAGTTGTTCCTCGCTTGTCTAAATTGCTGCTGTAACACTTAACCTTATTGAAATAAGCCAATTTTATATTCCTTCCTTTTACTTCAATCTTTAGTCCATTCAAGTAATGTCATAGAACTTGATTTATTTTTATTATTTTTTGTCCTTTCTCACAATTTTCATCCAAATTTAACAGACCTCTTTTGTAAATCCAATTTGTTTATTATTTGTAGTTCTTTTTTTGATTTTAAAAGTATCAACTGATTTCATTTATGTGCCTAATGAGACCCCTTTCCACATCATTCTTGTAACCTGTCATTAGTAGATCCACTTTTAGTGTCAATTCTCCTCCATGCTGCATCGAGAGCCCAGGATGGGTTGACTGCTTCCTATGATGTAATTTAGCTGAGTCTGTACTAAGATATAAAAGCCAGCCCCCGGGAGAGACCCCAGCTTTTGACTCAGCTCCTTTCAGTCAGTAGCTGTGTCTCTGAAAGCGTTCTGTTAGACAGCACTCACAGTGATCTTCAGTATTTTTTTCCTCACTTCAAGCAGCTCCCAGGGCAGCTGCTCTTCCAGGAGAGCAGGGCTCTCTCTCCTGCAACGTTGGGAGCAGCGTTACAGAGCTCTGTGCAGGCAAGCTGGGCAGCATCTGCAGACATCCCCCACGCCTGCGGTTTGGAGTGATTGTAAAAACGATCGGCAAACTGATCAGAGCACAAGCCAGCTGATCGTGTGGCTGGTTGCTGCGTTTTTCCCTTGCTGACTTCGCTCGGGGCTCTATAATTCTTCGATCTTGGAGCCTTTTTTCCTGTACTCAGTGGCCATCTTGGATTCAAGCCTTCCACCACGAGGTGAGCGGCCATTTTGTAGGCCTGCGGGCCATTTATACCCTAAGGGGCTTAATAGAAAAATTTCTAAACAGCTTCTTTCCAACGCAAGAGCCTTTATTCTACAAATGGAGCAAGATAAGACTCAGGCAGAGTTTTCCTCCCCAGTGGAATAGTCTCTTAAGCCCAATAAGAGAAAAAGACATAGGCAACACACCCAATCAGTCCAGAGGGAGGTGGCTGCTAAAATCAAAGCTAAGGCTCTAACCTCTAAGAAGGCAACTCAGGCTGAATTGAGGGCAGAGAAGCGCAGACATGCAGCTCTAGAGAGGCAGTTCAACAGAACTATTCAACAGAAGGGAGTGCAACTACAGCATGTTTCAGGTGATACTCGTGGGCCCCAACCAAGCCCTTCCAGGGGAGGAGAAGTTATCTATGAGCCTTTCCATCCTCCATCCTGGACTCCTGAGGCTCTTGCAGTACAATCAGATCCTCAGGATTTAAGCTATGCTCCTCCCACTCCCTCCAGGCCTCGAACCTCTCCTCAATCTAGGCCTGAAGCCACCTTCACTCCCACAGCAGTGGGCCTTCGGCCTTCGGCCTCTACCTTTGAGCATAGACCAAGGGATATCCAAGATGTTGTCTCATTAGCCATTAGGCAGGGATTGGTTGAAGGCTTCAAGCAAATTCTTCAACCTCTGGAAAGGGTTCAGGCCCTTCTCCCTTCTCAATCTATAAGTTCCTTGCCTCATTATCCTGATTTACACAGGCCCCAGGACCTCAGGGTCCATTCTTCTCTACCAGAATGGGAGGAGATTGATGAGGACGGAAGGCCTTCACCATCTGAACACAGTTACTTTTCTCATTCAGAGAAGAGGGTGAGATTTTTGACCAAAATCTTTCAGAAGAAGAGGATTCTCGCCCAGAGCAGACATCCTCTGCATTGGTCTTCAAACTGACTCTCTTCAGACCATTATTCAACAAGGCCTTGGTCACTGCCAAGCTATCACCAGAGGAAGTGGCTCCCAAGCCACAAGGAAATCCCTCTAGCCAAGGGGATTCGCTCTTCTCCAAGCCTGCAGTGCATGCAGAGATTTTACCTTCTCCCATTTTGTTCCTGGACATGGTCAAGTGCGCTTCGCCTTCAGCAGGTCCTCACCCATCTTCTCTGGATAAGTGTTTCTACAATGTCAGCGCAGCTCTGGACAATGCCCTGGCAGTGCTTTCTGTTGACATTCCGGTTATGGCCTCGTTCTCATCTTCTGGCACTCCCACAGAGCCAGAAGATATCCTGAAACAGGATGATAAATGCTCCAAACAGACCCTCAAGCGCAATCACCAGGCCGCTGCTTGGGCTGTTCGGGCTTCAACAGCAGCATCCTTTTTCACGAGGGCAGCCATACGGTGGCTGTGCCAACTCCAGAATAGATTGCCTGCTTCTGACCTTTGGTCTCACCAAGACCTTAATAAGATTATTGCAGCGGCGGAATTCATTGCGGATACCACTCTCAATTCCACCAAATTTGTATCCAAGGCCATGGCATCTTCTGTAGCAGCAAGAAGACTTTTATGGCTCCGAAATTGGCAGGCAGAGTCACACCGAAAATGGAAGCTGGCTTCAGTTCCATTTGCAGGTGATAAGCTTTTTGGCGATGCGCTGGAACCTTATCTCATCGAAACCAGAGATAAACATAAAATTCTCTCTTCCTCTGGGAAGAAAGCCAACTATCGCCCTGCTCCTTATCGCCCTCCTGCCTTCCAAGCGGAGACCTCATCTCACTTCCCCTGCTCTCACAGGCCGTACTCCCAATACCAAGACCAACAGGCGGAAGCATCTGGCAGGCAACAACCTTCTACTGGTAAACGGCCCTTTCGGGGGGGAGGGGGTCATTCCTTCCGTCGCTCTAAGTAATCCCTCATTCTCCCCACCTATTGGAGGTCACCTAGCCTTCTTTGCCTCCAAATGGGAGGAGTCAACGACGGACGCCTGGGTGCTCAGCACTATTAGGTCAGGGTTACAATTGGACTTCCTAACGCCACCCCCCTCCAAATTTTTGAACGGTCCTGTCTCTCGGGACATTTCCAGGCAAGCCCTCATGAATCAGGCCATTCAGCACCTTCTTCAAATCAGGGCTATTCAACCTGTTCCCCCCTCTCAACAGGGACGTGGGCTTTACTCTCATCTTTTCATTGTTCCCAAAGCCTCACGGGTGGCGAGCCATCCTTGATCTAAAATTTCTCAGCCAATTTGTAAAATACAGGCGATTTAAAATGCAGACTCTGCATTCTATTTTAGAGAGCGTTCGGGAGGGTGACCTCTCTTCCATTGATCTCACTGAGGCTTACCTCCACATCCCAATTTGGCCTCATCATCGCCAGTTTCTCTGTTTCTGTTATCAGAATACCCATTACCAGTATCGAGCACATCCCTTCGGCCTCTCATCGGCTCCAAGAGTCGTCACAAAGGTTCTGGCAGCATTGATGGCATCTCTGCGTTCTATTCCAGTGAGGATCCAATGCTACTTGGATGACATTTTGATTCTATCCTCCTCCTTCCATGTGGCCCATTAGGATCTGTAAATTACCCTGTTATATCTCCAGAGCCAGGATTTCCCATCAACATCAAAAAGAGCCAGCTCTCTCCCACAACCAAATTGCAACACTTGGGAGCAGTCATCGATACCATGTCATGCCAGGTTTTCCTGTCCCCAGCTCGTGGAAAGAGCCTTGCAGAGATCACCAGCCAGATCCAGCAACATCAAATTGTCCCCCTGTCGCTGCTGTCCAAACTTCTGGGGAAGATGGTCTCCTGTACTGGCATCGTCCCGTGGGCTCGGCTCCACTCCCGACTCCTCCAATGGTTCCTTCTTCCCTATCAATGAGTAGGAACCAGCCACTCATCCATCGAGGTCCCACTCCTGCCACAAATCTGGAGATTTCTCAATTGGTGGCATTCCCCATCAATCTGCAGAGGACTCCTGTTCAGGGACCCAGACAGGCTAGTGATAACCACCGATGCCAGCCTCCTGGGTTGGGGTTCCCATATGCAGGGCCAGATAGCTCAGGGCGTTTGGTCCAGATCAGAGCAGCCCCTTCCCATAAATTGGCTAGAGCTCAGAGCCATTTTTCTGGCTCTCAAGCATTTCAGGCAATCAGTGACTGGCTCTCATGTTCTCGTCCTTACAGACAACATGGCCGCAAAGGCTCATGTCAACCAACAAGGGGGGATGAGGTCCAAAGCCCTCATGAGAGAGGCTCTACGGTTGGGGTTATGGGCAGAGAAACACTTGTTGTCAATCTCAGCGGACCACATCTCCAGGGTCAACAACACCCAGGCTGACTGGCTCAGCAGAAGCCTAGTCAAGCAGGCAGAATGGTCCATTCCTCCGTCTCTATTCAGGGATCTTTCCCTCAGATTCGGAACACCGGAGGTGGATCTCTTCTCCACTCCTCAAAATGCCCAAGTCACCAGATTCTTCACCAGGTTTCCTTGCCAGGGAGCGGAGGGAACCAATGCTCTTCAGTGCAGATGGCCCAAGGGTTTCCTCTACGCCTTTCCCCCGCTTCCCATCGTTCCGGCAGTAATTCGGAAGATGTTGGAGGAACATGCGGAACTCCTCCTCCTGGCACCGTATTGGCCAAGGAGGCCCTGGTTTGCGGACCTGGTCAACCTATTGGTGGCTTCTCCTTGGAGGATCCCAGCCCATCTAATCTCCCTTCAC